GTAAAGAAATTAATATGCAACTTGCTGGGAAATTAAAAAATATTGGTATTAATGCTATTCCTGGAGAAAAGATATGTCCCTCGTGTATGATTAAATTAATATCAGTTAAGGATGATGAGCAAAGAGAACCAACTTGTAGCCAGATTTATGAGGATGAAGATAATGAACTTAATATAAATGAATTGTTAAAAAAAATCTTAATTCTTCTTTGACGACTATGAACATAAGTCCTCTCAAAATGCATGCTGTAAATAGTCACTCAAGAGTTGCTCTTGGCAAAAAAAAATTGTTACATATTCAAAAAACAGTAAAGTTAGGTATTGCAAGGACTTTAAATATAGATCCTGAACAGTTAAGTAAAGAAGATTCCTTCATTAAATTATCTAAGAAAGTTAAAGGTAAAGCAAATGACATGGATATACTTATTAGAAAAATCAAAGAAAAAATGTTAATTTACAATCGTAATCAGAAAATTCAACTACTAACATTGGTTCCAATTTCTTGGTCTCACAAAGATATAGAAAATGAATTTAATGTTACTAATTATATGGTGCAGATATCACGCAAATTGCTGCAGAAAAATGGTATTTTATCTTTTCCTGAAAAAAAAAAAGGAAAGGAAATACCTCAAAAAACAGTAGATAAAATTATTGAATTTTACTGTAATGATGAAAATAGTAGGCTAATGTCTGGTAAAAAAGATTTTGTTAGTATAGCTCGAAGATCTCATATGCAAAAGGGTTTTATTCTTTCAAATCTAAAAGAGCTATATGCGAAGTTTAAAACCTGTTATCCAGATATAAAGAGCTGCTTTTCTAACTTTTGCTCACATCGTCCAAAATGGTGCATTACAGTTGGAGCATCTGGTACGCATACAGTATGCGTGTGCACCTACCATCAATATGTTAAGTTAATGATTAGTGCAGTTAAATTATAAAAGGATTATCACGAGCTTATTGATATCCTTGTTTGTAGTAGGGCAAACAAGACTTTTTTACATTTTTTAAGATTCTACATCGGTACATTATCTTGAAAATGAGTTGTACTCTCAAGACGATTTTTGAAGATGATGATTATAAATGAGTTAAGTAGTACTGAAGTCATTGTCCTTTGTGACTTCTCAGAAAATTACGAGTTTGTTGTACAAGACGAAATACAAAGTTTTTATTGGAACAAAATTCAAGCCACATTGCATCCAACAGTAATTTATTATAAAGAAAATAATGTTCTCAAATGTGATTCAATATGTTTCATCTCAGATAATTTACTGCATGATGCTGATATGGTTTATCATGTGATGAAGCTAACAATTGAACATATTAAAAGCAGTATTTCTCATCAAATAGAAAGTGTCCATTACTTTTCAGATGGGTGTGCTGGCCAGTACAAAAACTGCAAACACTTCGTAAATATATGCCACCATGAACAAGATTTTGCTATGAAATGTACCTGGTCTTTCTTTGCAATAAGTCAGGGTAAATCACCCTGTGATGGTATTGGTGGGACTGTAAAAAGACTGACTTCAATTGCTAGTCTTCATCGAACAACAACAAATCATATTCTTACAGCGTCTGCAATGTTTAATTTTTGCCAAAATGAAATCATAGGAATTAATTTTTATTACATTTCCAAGGAGTCAAACACGATAATTCGAAGTGAAATGGAGAAAAGATATACAACTGCAAAAACGTTACCAGGCACTTGTAGCTATCACAATTTCGTTCCAATAAGTAACACAAAAATTGGAACTAAAATTGTTTCTGAACAATTGGAGTATTTATTTCTTTTTAATTTTCAAACTGATGAGATTATTAAAGAATTCTTGTCTAATATAAGCATTGGTGTGTTTGTATGTTTGATATATGATAACAATCCATGGATCGGACTAGTTGAGGAAATTGATGTTGAAAATTAAGACTTTCAAGTTAGTTTCATGCATCCATGTTACCCTTCAAGGTCATATTGCTGGCCTTCTAGAGATGATGTTTGCTGGGTTCCATCAACAAACTTATTGCTAATGATTAATATTCCAACAACTGTTACAGGAAGACAATACAAAATCAGTGAAATTGATCACCAGAGCATTGAAGATAGCTGGGCAAACTTTAAACCAGAGAACTAATTTGTTATCTGTCAAAAATTTTTAATTCTTATTTTTTTTAAATGTCAAAGATTGTTAATTCTTATTAGCTTTTAGTTTTAATTTTTCTTATTGTAATTTAATTATTTCCATGGTTTTAGTGTGATTTTAATTTTTTTTTGATTTATTATTGTAAAACTTTAAATGCAAATAAATTTGATTTAAAAAAGAAAACCCTTCCAGATTTTTTGTGCCTAAATGATATGATTCTGAAATTTTTTCTAGAAAAAATTTCAGAATCATATCATTTAGGCTTCTTGAGATGAACTTTTTTTTTGTACGGGGCATCAAAAATTTTACAAAAAGTGTTACACCATTTTGAAATTAAATATTTATATAGAAGCTTAAACTTTTTAACGTTTTAGTCTTGATTTTTGAGTTCCTCACCCTAAAAAGTAGTTAGGTAGAAATTTTCATCACTATTGAACAAGTATTTCATAAGTTAAAGCTAATTGTGTAGTGCAATAAGCTTAAAAAATAAATGGCGCTGAAAAAAAAAGGTAAAAAAGAGATTGGGACTGAGTATCAATATCTCTGAAACCGTAAGAAGTCTGATACTATAATTTGGAGTGAAGTTTTCTTTCATTAATTTAAGCTTTTACTCCAAAAATTAGCAAAATCCAAGATGGTATGGTGCCGAAAATTTTTTTTTTAGTTGATTTGACACGGAATGACCCTATTACTTACACTGTTTTTAGACTTTCTAATAAAGATAGTACTCAAACTAGGTGATCTTTGTTTACTGTTAAATTAAAGCTCATGCTTGGGTTTAACTGTAAACTTTATTTAGTGAGTATATTAATAAATAATGTTTAGAAATTAAATTTATCTTTGATTAAGGAAAATAAAAAACGATTCTTTAACTATAGAAATTGTTACTATTAACTTTCAGCCTAAATTTCTCCGTCAAACAAACATAAATAAGTAATTAAATTTTATTGTTTTCATAAAAAAGTAAATAAAAAGCAAATTTAATGTATATAAAGATGATTTTTTTTTTAATTTTTTTTTTATAGATTTATACTGTTTCTAATATTTTTTTTTTGTGTTATAGATTTATTATTTTAGGCATTGTTCCAGCAGAGACTATAAACAAAAAGAAAGTCTTGTTTGAGTAAAATTTTTTTGAAAGATAAACTTTATTAGGTTATTTCAGAAAAACAAAATTTTTAATAAAAACATTTATAATTATTCTTAAAGAAACTTCAACTAAATGGGGTAAAAAATTTTCTATATAACATTTCTTGTTAGGGAGAACATGCCACAGAGCATTCATACACAACTTTAAAAAAAAATAAAGTTTTAAAAAAAGTTTACAAACAAAAGATTATTAAAAATGTCTTTTGTTTGTTTTGTGATCATTTTGCCATATTTTTTACAACTTGTGTGTGTGTATGTGTGAGTGAGTGTTAATGCCTAACTGCATATTTCATAAATGTTTATTACTGACACATTAATTAATATTTGTAATACTGCCATAAATTTTAAAAACACATATCACTCCCAATAATATAAAAAATTTGGATGTTTAAATACCTTTTCTATTATCCATTACAATTCACAGTATTATAATAATATGTTATAATAATATAATAAAAATTTATTATAATAAATAAGCTTGATAAATTATTTTTGTTGTAAATTGAGGTGAGACCTGATAATATATATTAAGTTCAAATAGTTATAGGATAAGTAATAACATTTGTTTTAAGTACAAAGTAAATTAGTGCATGGTAGGCTTTGTGTTCTTGGTAATCAATATAACAAAATATTATATATGGTAGTTTGTTTTGTTTTATAAAGAATTTAAAAAATGACTTATTACTTCAGCCAAACACATAAAAGCTATTTTTTGTGGTCAAATATGACCTTAAAAAACATAATGTGTAAATCATTTCATTACTATAATGATGTTCTTATTTTAGTAATGAATAAGCCAGCCGCGCTGAAGCATCTATTAGCTTCCACTGATGAAGTTGGCAAAGAGGAAAGGGAACTTTCTTTATTGTGTATTATATTCTTACTCCTGATTCCAATCTTTACCTCTACAAATCTATTATTCATTCCTGAATGGAATCCTGTTGTTATATTTGTGCTGGTTCTTTTAATGATGCTTTTTCACTTCTAGACTAGGTCCAAAAATACATTGTAAACGTAGTTTACAATGCATTTTTAAACCTGTTCTAGAAGTGATGATGTAACTTATGTTCTTGATGATGTAACTTATGTTCTTATTTGCAAAACTTTTGAAGACAACTATGTTATTTCAAAGTTTCACAGTTATTTTTCCTCAAAACAAAACAAGGAACAACAAAAAACAAAAAAAATACAAAAACAAGAAACAACAAAATATAGAAAAATTTACTCTCTACTACCAGAATATGATTTATATGCTCATGCTTCTCGGTTAAAGATTAATGTTAAAAAATTAAAAAAAATACAATCCTACAACAATAGCTTTGTATTATTTCTCTCTGATCACAGTCATGTCATTATTGCTCGTATTGTTTGTAAGGAAAGCGATAAATCTTTATTAGACTGCATTAAAATTGAGTCTGAGAATTGTTTAACTGATATAATATTATTTATTAACATCTACAAAGATCTTATATATGATAAACAATTATTAATATCAGGAATTTTGGTTTTACCTACAATTAAACAAGAATCGTTACCAGAAGAACTTTGTTTTTTATTTTCTGACCAATTTAAGTTTGAATCTTCTTTTAATTTTTTATGTGAAGATGAACTTGAAGATGTAGAAAAATTTAAAATTTGGCTAGAAAAGATTACAAAATCTGAAGGTTTTTTAGTTGATAATAGTCAAATAACAAAAGAAAAGAATAAACTTTTCAAAAAAATGATTGGCTTAGCAATGATGTTCATGCTAGAGATTGATTTTCCCAATTATAAAGCTAATATTCCAGAGCAGATTACATCATTGGTTCTCAATATTGAACAATATGATGCAATAAAAGATGAAGGAAAAAATAAAAAAAAAATTATTACTGGAGGGTTTGGTTCTGGAAAATCTGTGGTAGGAAAAGAGATTGTTAGAAATATTATTAAAAAAAGTAGAAATAGATCTATAACTTTGTATTACATATGCTGCAATCATTTTTCCTTGTATGAATGTGAAATGAAACAGTTTATTAATGATGAATTAATAAGAGTTAAACCTACTAACGTTACTGTACATTGCGATAACTTATTTAATTTATGGAATAAAGTACCTCAAGATAAAGATGAAATTTCTATTCCAGATACACTTGAGCATTATGCAACTATAACAAGTGATGATGTGTGTTTTGTTTTAGAAGAACTTTCTGATGAATATTTTAAAGAAGAAGATGAAAAGAAATTAAATGAAAGGTTTTTAGAGCCTTCAAATAAGTTGAATAAATGTTTAGTGGTTTTTATTCCTGAAAGTATTAAAAAAAATAGTGAATTAGTAAATGAAAACACGACTGATAAAATTAACATAAAAAAGAGTTGTTTCACTGAAGAATTTTTAGGAAAATCTATGAAGATTATAACTCTAAAAAAATCAATGAGAGTAACACAAGGTATTAAATTGTTAATTGATAGTTTTCAAAAAGCCATTGAGGAAAAACAAACTGTTATTAGATTTTCAAATGATAACCAAGTCAACACGCAAGAAAAAAACTCAACAGAAATCAGATATAGTTATAGTGCATTAACTGAGGAATCTGGTAATAATATTCAAAGTGAACCAACTGTTGCAGATGATTTAAATCCAACAGCAAGAATTCAGATTCTTTTCATAAATATATTAAAAAAGATCCTAAAGGTTCAAATTGCATAGAAATAAACTGTGTGTTTGATGAAACTAACTTCGGACATTCCATTAAAGGACCAAGACCTAAAATAATATATTTTCCTTTTTCGAACATTACAGACATAAATTCTGTCTATCTATTATCAGATGTACTAAGGAAACATTGTATTTTTGAAAATGGACCAAAAACAGTTGTTATTTGCAACAACATGGATGAAGTTGAGTCAGTTTCATTTGCTATAAAAAAAGCTAATACTGAAAAAAAAAATTTTTTCAAAGCAATAATATATACTCCACATTTGCGCAAGTGCACACCATCAATTGAGGATAAAAAAAAAGTTAAACAATCAACAAATATTAAATCTCATATACTTGTAACTGATCATAAAGGGTTTTCTGGAGCAGAGTCCGAATCTGTTATTATATTTGTAGACCCAAATGACATTTATCTTCGACACACAGTTATAAATGCCATGGCTAGATCAAATTCTCATTTAACATTTCTGGTTTTGGGAAAAATAGTACTACATTCAGAAAATTCTGTTGGATCAATAATCACTGAATGGACATCCGAATGGATTGATAAAATTGAAATTAAACCAAATAATTGTGCCTACGGAAAAGAGGAATTTGAAGCTTACCGAAAAAAAGAAAAATTTGAAATTAACATGGAACATGATAATATGTAAGTCTGGTTTTGTTTTTTGTAAATACACATTGATGTTTAAGTAATATTTTTTTCAGAATTATTACATATGACTTTTTTAATACCAACAATAAAATGTGTGTTTGCAGCTTAGACTTTTTTTTGTAATTTCACTTTTTTTTGAATAAGAAGTTGTTAAAACTTAGGGGAGTTAAATAAAGTAGTTGTAAAGTTTTTGTTTTTGTTGTTAAGCTTGTAAACTTGTTTGTAAAGTTGGCATCTTAACATAAGGATACAAATAGGATCTTTTCAGATGGAATTATAAGAATCAGGAAAAACTATATTATTATTAACTTGAATTGTTAACTAAAAATAAAAAGATAATACAAATTAGAATATATTATATAACTTATAAAAGTTTTTGTAAATGATCTATTATAGAGACTGAATAAAGAACTTTTAGAATAAAAATTTTAACCTTAAAAATTTGAGGATGAAGAAGAAAATCAAAGATGAAAATGAAGAAGAACTTTGTCTATTCAAATAAAAATTTTATAATGCAAGTTGTTAGAAAAAATTGTTAGAAAGAATTATAGAGTTGGGAGAAGATTATAACCACTAATAAGTAGCTTCTTTGTCTGTAGTGGCTTTCTTAGCCTAGAGGAGATAAATTAAACAAAACGAAACAAAACAAAAAAAAATGCAATAGAACAGGAAGTTTGGTTTAGAACAAATTTGGTTAAGATCAAATTCGATTCAGAAATGTATTACAAGATTTAAAATAAGTTTTTAAGAACTTAATTGTTTATAACTTAAAACAACATAAACACATAAGCCTCCTGATTGTGGCCATGCAACTACTCCTGTTATCTTCTAATAAGGGTACAGCTCTAAAACTCAGTTTAATGGTTCTGAGGCCAACTGGTAGTAAGATTTCCTGAACTCTGTGGTAGTTCTCAGAAAGGCTGATTCCATTAACAGCTGCAAAATATCAGAGTATTAACACTGCCATGTTTTGCATGGATGTTGTCCCTGTTAAGGCTTTGAGTGTCCATCGTGAAGGCCACATAAGGAGCTCTATGTTACAACTTAAGGTTAATTAACAGGATTGAGACAATTTGCGTAGTTCATTACTTAGGAAACTGTGCTCTCTCTATGAATAAATCAAGTTTTCTTTAAACTTAAATCATGCCAAAATTAACCTATAATATTAAACAAAAAGCCATTCCCACCACCTAAATGTTTTAATGTATCTTTTACAAATATTTATGGTGTACAAAGCAACTATCAGTTTAATCTTACGTCTTGCAAAATCCAACAGACTTGCTTGCTCCTAGTAAGACTAATTAAATTTCTGCAATTCTTTTTTCAGATTTCAGTGTTGATGAGTACTATCCTTTGATTTGCAAAGATTTTAATAGTTACATGCTTGGTGTTGGGGTATACATATTAATTCACCTATTTTTTGTGAAGTCAGGTTTCAATCTTTCTACCATTTTTTTATGTTCTTTCGCTTAGCATTTTTTCACTCTATCACCTTTCCCTTTGTTCTTTAATATTCTTCTTTTTTCCCAAGACACACTTTTTAAGATAAACTTTCTGATCAAATTGGCCTATCTCTAATCCTAATCCTCACTCTTTACCCCTTTGCCAATATTGTTGATTTTTTTTATCTCCTACTTACTTTTCAAACTCATCCTATCATTGCACTACTTACTACTACCCTAAAGCTGACTTTAAATTCTGTTTGTAGTTTTCTTCATTACAGTCCTAGGGCTGATGTCTTTTCTATGTCAGCAGATAAATGTGCCTCCTACGTAACCTCTTGGTTTCAGGCAAGAATGCTTTTATTTCTTCTTAGTGCATCCAAGTCAATGCCCATTCCACTCTGTGGTTTTCACCTTTTTGTGCATCTCTTAGCATCTCTTAGTTGGAAAAGCAGGAGCAATTGCTCTTGATTACTGACCACAAAAATAATATTTAGTTGCAAAATACTGGCTAGATTTTTTATTCATTTTGAGAACATTTCAAAAAATAAAAAATAAAGCGCAAAGAGGATTAGACCGATGAGAGCAATTACAAAAAAGTATTTAACTAGGAAAAGAAAATAACTTTTAACGTAAAAAAACTGAAAGCAAAATAAATTACTTTTATAACAAATATTTTTGAAACATCGCTTTATTATAATTTTTTGATAAAATTAAGTGAAATTTTTTTATATAAAGTAACATCTTACGATTGCTTAATAAGGAAACAAATGTTCTTTTATTTATCAAAGAGTTTAAAATCATTTTTATTTATTAACTTGTGCCTTATTTCCAGTGCTGGATTAAGGATGATAGGAGTTAGAGGGGGCTATAGCCCCGGGTACTGCAATCTTTGGGGCTCCAAAATAGTCAATATGATATTTTTATAAGTCATTTTTATGCTGTGGCACATTAAAAAAGGCCTCCAATATAAAAATAGCCCCCAACCTTAAATAGTCTAACAAGATTCTAATAAAAGTAGTGCTACTTTTAGTTTTATTTAATTATTTTATAAACAAAAAAACTTTTTTAATTTTTAATTTTATGCTTTAACATATTTGAAACAATTCTTCATTATAAGATAAACAAAATTAAATTAACAAAATGTATATATATATATATATATATATATATATATATATATATATATATATATATATATATATATATATATATATATATATATATTTGTCAGTCGTTGAAGCAGCACTCCCTTGCGAGTCAGGCTATTTGTCAGTCGATGTAGCAGCACTCCCTTGCGAGTCAAGCTATAAGATAGTTGATGTAGAAACACTCCCTTGTAGCAGCAGGCTATAAGATAGTTGATGTAGCAACATTTACGCATGTTTTGAAAATGTTTTTTAATAAAACAAAAACAAAAACACCACTAATTAAAAAAAACTTTCTAGTCGTTATTATTGTTGTTTTTTAAAAATTTTTTAAAAAACAATAAAATTTAATGTACTTCTGCGTTAATTTAATTGCTTTGACATTTCGATGACAATCAAATACAGCTTAAGAGACGAGGTAATTAAATTGTAGTCGAAAGAGACTTTTTTTATATTAAAAGACTCTTTCAACTACACTATAAGGATATATATATATATATGTATATATATATATGTATATATATATGTATATATATATGTATATATATATGTATATATGTATATATATATATCTATCTATATATATATATATATATATATATATATATATATATATATATATATATATATATATATATATATATATTATATATATATGTATATATATATATATATATATATATGTATATATATATATATATGTATATATATATATATATATATATATATATATATATATATATATATATATATATATATATATATATGTATATATATATATATATATATATATATATATATATATATATATATATATATATATATATATATATATATATATATATATATATATATATATATATATATATATGTATATATATATATATATATATATATATATATATATATATATATATATATATATATATATATATATATATATATATATATATATATATATATATATATATATATGTATGGCCAAAAATTAAAGACCACTCATTTTTTTTTCAAAATTTATTTTTAACCGTAGTATGATTTTATTTTGGAAAAAGATATCAAAAAAAGAAAAACATTTTTAGAAAGAATTTTAATTGTATTTTATATTTATTATAAAAGAATGAATAAGTTTTTTACAAAATAATGTCTAAAAATTAAAAAACTGACTAGTAAAAAATATAAATGGAAAAAAATTTGGACATTTAAAGACCAGTTTCAAAAATTTTTCAAAAAGCAATAAAAAAATAATTTAGAAACGTGATGTTCCTCTATTTGTTTTCAAGCACTCTTGTTCTCGTTCTGGCATTGAATTCATTAAAGTTTTGATTACTTTATCTGGCACATTTTTCAAATGATGAGAGATAGAAGATTTCAAATCTTCTAAATTGTAAAGTTGTTCTTTACCATGCTTGTGATCAAGCCATGACCATAAATTCTCTATTGGATTTAAGTCTGGACTATTAGCAGGCCATGGAAACACTTGAAGTTTATTAGAATTGAACCAATCGCTAACAACATGCGCTTTATGATACGGCGCATTATCTTGCTGGAAATAAATCTTGCAACTGCTATAAATCAAAGCTAGGAGTAAGCGAGTTTTCCAAAATTTTGATGTACCTTTTTTTGTTGAGTCTACCATCGAATAAATAAAAAAAGCTAACTCCACAGGCACTCATGCAGGCCCAAATGCCTATTGAACCACTGCCTTGTTTTGTTTGTTTCAAAATGCATGATTCATCGAACCGTTTGCTTGGAAGTCTACCAAACATTACACAACCTATTCTATTGTCTACCTCAACGTTCATTTCATCACTAAAGACCACACGGCTTCACTGATCTGTTGACCAATTTTTATGTAGTTTGCACCACTCTTTTCTGGCAAATTTTTGTTTTTTATTTAAGCTTGGTTTTTTGCAGCAGCACGCTATAAATAATTTAAATTGTGGAGGACACTTGGCAGAGTTCTAGGGCTTGCTTTCAGACCATTTAACAGTGTCCATTTCGTAGACAAGTCTGTAAATGATGCTTGTCTGTTTTCTTTCATTAATCTCACTAACGAGCGAACATCACGGTCATTTGAAATTTTATTGCGTCCAGTCTTATGACGATCATTAATTGACACGGTCTCTTTGTATTGTTGAATTATGTTAATAATGCAAGAGTGAGACCTTCCGAGCTTTTCTGCTATTTGTCTGATGCTATAGCCTTCTTCTTTTGATACAAGAGCCGCGTATCTTGCACGCATTTTTGCAATATTTTTATATCCTTATTGCAATTCAAAAAATAAATGTTTATTTGGTATCGAAACTCAGGTTTCAACATTTTATTTTATTGTCAACGTAATAAGCAATTAAGACAGTTAAAAAAAAAAATAATCAATTATTATTTTTAATAAGTGCAAATT